TCTCTTATTGTGCTAATTCTACATAAGAACGAATCTTCTATCTGTCACATAACTTTTATTAGTCTATTGATAATTGTTCTATTTTATTATTAGTTTTGTTGTTAATCTCTTATTGTGCCTAATAAGATCTACGGTAAGAACGAATCTTCTATCTGTCACATAACTTTTATTAGTCTATTTTATAATTGTTCTATTTTATTATTAGTTATTGTTGTTAATCTTATTGTGCCTAATAAGATCTACGGTAAGAACGAATTTCTATTTTAACTTTTATTAGTCTTTGTTATAATTGTTCTATTTTTATTATTAGTTATTGTTGTTAATCTCTTATTGTGCAAATAAGATTACGGTAAGAACGAATCTTCTATCTGTCAAATTTTATTAGTCTATTGTTATAATTGTTCTATTTTATTATTAGTTATTGTTGTTAATCTCTTATTGTGCCTAATAAGATCTACGGTAAGAACGAATCTTCTATCCGTCATGTAACTTTTATTAGTCTATTGTTATAATTGTTTCTATTTTATTATTAGTTATTGTTGTTAATCTCTTATTGTGCCTAATAAATTACGGTAAGAACAGATCTTCTATCTGTCACATAACTTTTATTAGTCTATTGTTATAATTGTTCTATTTTATTATTAGTTATTGATGTTAATCTCTTATTGTGCCTAATGAGATCTACGTTAGGAACGAATCTTCTATCTGTCACATAACTTTTATTACAGTCTGTTATTATAATTGTACTATTTTATTATTACATATTGTTCTTAATTTCTTATTGTGCCTAATAAGATCTACGGTAGGAACGAATCTTCTATCCATCACATAGTTATTGTTTGTAATCTCTTATTGAGGGCCTGTTTTACAACAAAAAAACTGATGATTTAAATTCTACAAGGACTTGTGCTTACAACTAATATAAACAATAAACCCTACAAAAATGACTTTCTCAAAATGAAATAAAATTAAATAAGTGGGTAGTGGGTAACACACGTAAAATATTTATACTAAGATTTTCCAAACAAGAAACGTTTCTGAAGTAATTTCATTCATCTGCTCTGAAGGTTTCATTAAAGTCCGACAATTGATTTTTTGCAAGAATTTACAAATAAATTTTTTAACAGAAACAATTTCCCATACTAATTTATCGTCATGAGTTGAAATTAATAAAGAGAAAAAGAAAAAACAATTTTTCATTGACGACTGAATGTTTTTTGTGATTCGTTTCATTTTCACAGTTGATTTGCCGCGTAAGGCAAATATATTTTTCGTGGTAGGAACTTTGATATCAAAGGAGTTTACGGTGCATAATAAAATATTATCAAATAAACTAATTTAATAACGGCCATATTATAATAAAAGAAATGTTTATTCCTTTGTTTCAGGAAGGGGGGCTTCTTAAGAAAAACTTGAGAGAAAAAGAGGAATTCATTTTAAGTTCTTAAAAATGAATTCCTCGCAAAAATTTTAGGACTTACCTAATACATATGATTTGCTATTATACTAGTATCTGTGTAATGAAATACTATATATACATGTGCACAAATATATATATATATATATGTGTGTGTGTGTGTATATATATATATATATATATATATATATATAATGATATTCGGTAATCCGTATGGATAATTACAAAAAGATATATATATATATATATATATATATATATATATATATATATATATATATATGTTATATATATTTGGGGGGTTAGTAGAGACAAACGCTAAATAACACGTAACAATAAAAAGGGTTTTAATAGGTTGGTAAAAAGGTACATAAATCGTCTGAGTAGTCAATAACTAGCTCAGCTAAGAAGTTCTCGGTCTATCTGTCTTAGTATTTATCGATCCACCCACGAGGATTGAATATGGCACAAGGCCGGTTTAATCTGGGTATCTCCGAGCCCGTAGGCTCGGCCAAAAATATAGCCTTTGAACCCGCCTAGACGGGTTCAGGCCCTGTCTACCTCCCCGGACGAAACTTTACCCTTCGGCAAAGCTTCGTCCGGGTTCCTTTCTGCTAACGCAGAGAGTTCGACAGACGTCGCTTACAGTCAAAGACTGTATCACGACTCAGATAGACTCGAAGGTCTTACCCTCTCTCTCTATCTGACTTTCCCCCATGTCAACTGACATGCCACTATTTAAAGTCTTTGTTCACAGACAAGTTCATCTTCCAGAGGGGTGGTAGGTTTCCGACACAACAATATATATATAAATCCTAGCAGATAGTTACTAAGAACGTCAAAGACTTTGCCAAAAATTGGGAAATATCTAACTTTCCGATGATATTAACATTTTAATAGGAGTAGATAGATTCGCCTATCATCCGTTTCATACTCTTCCCTGGGCTTTTGAACAGGAGTAGAGTTTTATCCTTTATTCTATTTTTCCTATTGGGTTTCAGGTTCCTTTCTACTTCTGACGTCTCCGACTAAACTCTGAAACTTTATTTACTATTTAATAGTTTATTTATTTTTTAACAGAAGTAGATAGGTTTCCTCGATTCACACACCACTCGGGGGGTTTGAACAGGAGTAAAGATTTATCCCTGTTTAGGATTGGGTTTCCGGTCTTTTCATTCACTTTTACTACCAGTTTGCCGCTTGCGTCTTAGTGGCTTTATCGCTTTGCTTGGCGTGAATTGATTAAAAAAAAAAATAATAATAATATTTTGCATAAAAATCTGATGCAAAAAGAAAACCCTAACTAAAATTTAATAAAAAAAAATACACAATCTTCGAATCCAAATATTTTAACGTAAACTACTTTATAACATTTACTTTAACGCTTGAAGGATATTTGTCCCGGAAATAAGCGATAAAAAGTAACAAGATAAAGAAAAAGCCTAGCCATAAATTAATAATGAAAGTACTTCTTAGATTTAAAATATTTGAGCGTGGGCTACTTCTTTGTTCCTACTTCAAGCCACTTACTTTAATGATCGATAGACATTCTTCTAAAATATTAACGATAAGATGAGAAAAGACTAGCCATGAATTATGTAATGACAAAAGTACTCAGGTGTAGGCTTTAAGAAATCTTTATTCAACTGAGAATACAAGGTTCGCGTATAGTGTCCTTTTATAGTCCCAGTAAACAGAAATAGCTCTCTCAAAGAGGAGAGTAACAAAACAAGGGGGGACCACACTTGATTATTCATAGCAAAAACCTAGATATATGATAAAAGTGAATTTATACATATTTTTTTTTGTTCTTGGGAATAGGCAACAAAATATTTATATACTTACCACATTCTAAAAACTAAGAAAATTGTATTAAAACTTATTTAGTGCAATATTTATCATTTTACCAATTTATAAAGAAATAAAGATGAAAATAATTTTTATTCATAAATTTATAACGTTCACTAAATTTTAAAAATATGTGACCCAAATATAAGAGAAATCCTTGTTATTCACCATTTTATAAAGTTCACATCAATTGGCAACCAGTGAAAATAGCTCGGCAGAGCAGAATCCATTAAAATATTTATAGAAAAGACAGAGGAAGCATATATATATATATATATATATATATATATATATATATATATATATATGGTTTTAAGTTCGCGTATAGTGTCCTTTTATAGTCCCAGTAAGCAGAAATAACTCTCTCAAAGAGGTGAGTAATAAAACAAGGCAAGTTCACCCTTGATTATTCATAACAAATTAATAATGAAAATTCTTAATCTCAGAATTCAAATAATTGACTTTGCTAGAATATATAATATATATATATATATACGTATACTTTAATTGCTTTGATGTGTCCGTCTTAGAAGTATGCAATAAAAAAGGGTCATAAAATAAAACCATCATTTACATTCTTCCAACTTCTTGAGGAACTTTATAATTGATTTGGGAAATATCTGAACCAACAGCAGGGAGTAAGGTGACCCTCGTATATGTGGCAAACCCAATAAGTATATCAATTATTAGTTGCTGGCCAATCACAACGCCTGTAGCGAACACTTCAGAGGCGGACTGGGTCTAAAATATTATCTTCCTACAACTTTTACCTTTACTCTTCGGTAATGTTTATTGATTTAAAAAGCGATCATTAGAATTGGGATAAAACTGTAATGACAAGAGTACGCAGATGTATGCTTTAGGAAAGCTTTATTCAACTGAGAATACAAGGTTCGCGTATGGTGTCCTTTTATAGTCCCACTAAATAAAAATAGCTCTCTCAAAGAGGGAAGTAAGGAAGCAAGGGGAGACCACTCTTGATTATTCATAACAATAATTAATAATGAAAATTATTAATCCCAGAATTCAAATAATTCTGAACTACTTTATTAGACTTTGCTAAAATATATAATATATATATATACGTATACTTTAATTGCTTATATGTGTCCGTCTTAGAAGAATGCAATAAAAAGGAACCATAAGATGAATCAATCACGACGAAAATTAATAAGTTGGTGGACATTTGTTAACGTTCTTGCTTTTCATAAATCCTTATTTGCCTAGTGTCACGTGTTCCTTAACAATAAACATCCGACGCCCGGACAATATTAGCCAATCAATAAGCTTAGAAGAAGCAATGTTAGTGTGGAGGTGAGATCTGTAGGCATGCTGGGAAGGCGTTTGATCTCAGAGTGATTGTGAATTTATTACAACTTTCGACATCGTGTCTCTTTTCTTTATTTATTAATTATTTTATTTTATTTTATTTTTATTTTATTTATTTATTTATTTTTTTTTTTTTTGCTTTCAGTGTCTTACTTTTTCTTTTGCTTTTTTTGGACGTGTTTTATTGAAGTACTTAAGGTTTCCGTGCGAAAGTCTTTGATTAAATTAAGTGATTTTAAACAAAATAAAACGGTTAAAAACAAAAATCCCCACCCCCCAAAAAAAGAGAAAAAAAAAACCGAAAAGATAAAAGGAGACGGAGAAAAGAAAATCAGAAAGAAAGAGAGAAACAGAAAGAAAGAAAATGAAAATGACAAGAAAGAAAAAGCAATAGAGCGAATAGGAGTTATAGAGAGAGTATGACGGAGGGGGGGTCGTTAGAAAGCGAAGATAAAGAGAAGAAAATGAAAAAGAGAAAGAGCGAGGAAGTATTAAATAAAATTAGAGAGAGAGGGTGTGTATGAATGTGAAGAAAATGAGGTGAGAGAGAAGAGAAAGAAGGAAGGAAGTGAGAGAAGAAAAAAGCAGAGGGAAGAGAATGCGAAAACGGGAATGAGGGAGAGAGGGAGTGCATGAAGAGGAGAAAAAATGAGCGATGGGAGATAAAGAAAGAGAAAATGAGAGTAAGAGAATGGGAAAATTGAAATGAGAGACAATCAATGAGGAAGATAATATGGGAAGGAAGACGTGAGTGTGAGAAAGAAAGAAAGAAAGAAAGAAAGAAAGAAAGAAAGAAAGAAAACGAAAAAGGGAAACACACAAGAAAAGGTGGTGATATGAAATAGAGAAATAAAGAACTAGAGAGATAGCGAAACAGAATGAAAACGAGAGAAAAATAACGGAGAAAGACAGAAATATATACAGAAAATGAGGAAGGAAGAAAGAATGAGTATATATAATGAAAGAGTAGAAATTGAATGATATATATATATATATAAAAAAATATAAGAACCCAAATACAAAAACAAAAACAGATATATGGGTTATGTAATCGTTTTTGTGTTAAATTGTTATAAGTTATAATGTTAATTATGTTTAAATGAAAATGTTCATGAAGATGGTTTTAAATAGACCGAAACGTCCGACGTCGACTTTATTTTAACATTAATAATGCATATTCAGAATTTTGTTTTTTCTGTATTTTTCTTTCATACTGTCGGATTTATATCCATATATTTGCTTATATATATATATATATATATATATATATATATATATATATATATATATAGAGAGAGAGAGAGAGAGAGAGAGAAAGAGAGAGAGAAAGATAGAGAGAGAAACAGAAATTAGAAAAGAGAGATAGAGAGAGAAACAGAAATTAGAAAAGAGAGAGAGAGAGAGATAGAGATAGAGAGAGAAACAGAAATTAGAAAAGAGAGAGAGAGATAGAGATAGAGAGAGAAACAGAAATTAGAAAAGAGAGAAAGACAGAGACAATTAGTAGGACAGTCGTAGAGAATTCTAGAAAATGCGAGAGAAAGTGAAAACAAAAAAAGAAAAAAAAAGTTTCATATGAAAATCTCGCACCTTGAAAAATTTTCAGTTGTTTAAATTTTTTAATTAATCTCTCTCTCTCTCTCATATATATATATATATATATATATATATATATATATATATATATATATATGTGTGTGTGTGTGTGTGTGTGTGTGTGTATATATATATATATATATATATATATATATATATATATATATATATATATATATATAATGGACTCTCCTGTCGGTTTCGACGTATGAGTATCTGACAGCTTATTGATTCAGTTATGAAATTTTGTGCGATAATCTTAAGTGGCATTTAAGAGCCGCTAGTGATTTACAAAGGAGACCACATATGGAGCAAGAGTGAGGATTGTGAGATGAGATCACTGATAGATTGGCTGACCTTTTAGGTCTTGCTCTCGTTTCTTGAAGATGATTCAGACAAGCAGATTGAAAATTGCTGAGTCCACTAAAACAAGTTGATCTCCATTCTACCCGCTCCAAAGCAAAGACAATCCTTAAAAATCCATTTTGATTATAATTTACTACATGAATATATTTAAATATTCATATCTTCAGACCAAAGGCATTTTGGGAAATGAAATCAATTTGTCCCAACAAAAGGAAAAGCTCTTCCACCTATATTGTGCTCTCTTTGGATTAATATCCACCTTGGAATTATCCATACCAATTACTAAATGGTATGACTGACACACACACACACACACACACACACACACACACACACATATATATATATATATATAAGAGTTGAAAAGTTTGGTAATCCGTATGGGTAATCCCAAGGAGGATGTAATCCAGAAAGCTCAATGGTCAAATCAGAGGAATTATTAAATTAAATTAAACTGAATTAATATTAAGCACGCTGGAGTAATGGTTAGCGGCTCGGATTAAGGAATTCATTACATTTACTTACTTGCTAATACCCTTGGGAAAGGTATTAATCCTCTTTTTCTCCTTCCAGCTATGTGTAAATAGCAGGATGGACTGGGTTCTATAGCCCTGGATAGCAACTGGTCTAGGGAAGGACAACTTGTTTGGGAACCTTCTGGGACGTAGTGCACCAGGTCACTATTCTGCCCTTCAAAAAGTGTGAATGGTTCTGCACTAAGCTTACACCACTATAATCAAATCACAAGTGCTGGTGTCTGGTTGTCCTAGGAACAGAGCTGTTTTACCCTCATACGTCGTACACGGCGGGGAGAGTCAAGTATATATATATATATATATATATATATATATATATATATAACAATTTAATAGGAGACCAAATGATAGGGGTCAGCTATCCATTCCTGTCATAATCTTGTCAATAGCTGAATTCTTGATGCTTCGCTAGGGCTATCAAGGGTGTTTTTTTATCGTGACACCATCACTAAATGAATTGCCAACCAAGGCTCAGAGAGACTCCATTCGCCCTCATCTAAGAAAGACTATCCCGCGCCAGTTTCCAACCTGGTATTTAAATGCCTCGCGGCATTTATATATATTCGTGTATAACATCCATCTAAACAACAGCGCCGTTTAGATGGATGTTATACACGTCTTTTAAGAAGAGTGCTTAATCTCTCATGGCGAAACTGTCTAACTCTAGAAATGATATATGGAGACTTGCCGAGAGTATCAACCTTAGTTTGCAAAAGACGTGTCCAGTTCGCCGGGCATTGTGCACGTGCCACAGATGAACTTGTGTCATCATTTGTACTCTGGAGGCACCCATCATCTGACAATCGATCACGCAAGTTAACCTTTCCAGATAGGATAAAACGAGACACATTGATCCCTAAGGAAGATCTTTTAGGAGCTATGACAGATAAGGAATACTGGAGAGGTGTAGTGAGTTCAATCTCGGCTGAGGCCGCAGGATGATGGATGATGATCCATTCCTGCGTTATTTGAGCCTTGTTTAATGGTGCAGGGACTTGCTGAAACACGTAAGGCCTTCCATTGCATCCACTGTCTATGCAGGTCTTAACAACTGTTTATAGCACCTCAATATAGGTAGCAAAGTTAATTCTAAGGCCTTCTGGGAAGACGTGAGGAGGATTCATTGCTGAAGACCTGTCCATGACAGTTACAGAAAAATTTGTGTCATAACTGTTGGAACTTTAGAAGGGTCTTCACATAACCATGTCATTTTTTCTGTTAAATTTCTGATCTTGGTCTTGTCGGTGAAAAACCAAATCACATCGTTTTCTACTAGATGTTTGTTTAAGATCTAATTAAGCGATTTTCTTTTCTTTTTTTTTTTTCCTTCTTTTTTTTTACAGGTATAAACTGACCTTCTCTCATCACATAAGACATATTTGATGTCTTCGTAGACAACATTTCTGATTGTTCCTTCTGACACATGGAAATCTTTCACAGGTGACCTCATAGATTTTCTGGGATTGTCACCAATGGTCTGCTAAACTTACTGGATAAATTCAGGTGTTCTGATGATGTTAGGGCGTTTAAAATGCTTTTTATGCTTTCATAATGGGGATACATTTCCATCTTTCATAATGGGGATACATTTCCATCTTACGAACCTTGTAGGCGAAAGATCTGGCGACTTTTAAAAATTGATATATTAAAAAAGATATTATGTCCATGTTCGAAGTTAATATTAAGTGTTGGTTTGTTTGTTTTTAACCAACACTTAATATTAACTTCGAACATAGACGTAATATCTTGACCGTGTTTTGAAACAAAAAAAAAATGAAAACATTTTATAAAACATACATACAACAAACTAATTCTTATTTTAACAGTTAAAATGTTTAATCCTTGAAAATGGCTAAATGTATAGCCGAAAGCGCTCGGATAAAAAGAACATTCGGACAGTTTTTATATAATTTATCATCCAAAAAGAAAAAAATTATTAGATCGCATGAGAAATTATATAAAAAACTAAATAAAAGCACCTTGTGTGTCGTTTTCAATGAAAAGTGCATATATATATGTATATATTCCCTTTTTATTTTACTGTAATTATGATTTATAATTTTCTTTTAATTTTATAAATTAATTCATGTATTTATTTCTTTGAAATAATAGGTTTTGATTTAATCGTTTTTTTGCTTTTTTTTACATTGTTTATTTTTATTTTGTATTTTATATATATGAAAATTTTTAACCTAAATATATTTTTAATTCTCTTTATAAATACTTAATGCAAAATAAAATCCTTACATCTGCCTTTGCCAAACTTCCATCAGAAGACGAAATGCGTCAGCCAAGAAAAAAGTTTTCCATTATGTCTTTATATTCATATATATATATATATATATATATATATATATATATATATATATATATATATATATATATATGCACATATATGAATATATAATAATAATTGATATATATATATTTAGAAAAATATGACAATGAAGATATATATATATATATATATATATATATATATATATATATATATATATATATATATAATATAATGATAATTCATATATATGTATAGTGTAACCCCGGATATAAGAGAGTTGTCGACCGGAGAAGAAGTCTCTTATATCTGGGTTTCTTATATCCGACTTGGTCTATTTTACATGCATTAACACAGGCTCTTATTTGGGACCAGAGAAAATCTCTTTATATCCGGGTCTCTTATATCCGGATTACACTGTATATATATATATATATATATATATATATATATATATACACGCACGCGAACACACACACACACACACATATATATATATATATATATATATAATATAAATATATGGATATAGATCCGACAGTATATATGAATATGTCCTGAAGATGGTTTATTAGACCGAAACGTCCGACGTTAACATATTAACATTAAAACAGCATAATTGTATATAAGGATTTTTGTTTGTTTTTTCCGTATATATTTTTCTTCATATATATATATATATATATATATATATATATTTTAGAAAAATATGACAAACTGGAAAGTTTTTTGTGACTCGATTCATCCGTTATGATGCCATCGGACTAGGATTTGATGACATTAACACGTCTACACATGCACACGAAATGAGAGACGCACGTAGTTTCAAAATTTTTTGAAAGATTATTTTTTTCTCAATCTAGCCGAAATCATCTGTATTCTTTTGATTTATTTTTTTTTTCTCCATCACCTTTGTTTGTCCCTGATTATCACACACTGTAACAATATAAAATCTACCAAGAATGATGATACATACATACATATATATATATATATATATATATATATATATATATATATATATATATATATATATATATATATTCTGGCTTGAGGCATTCGGTTGTCTAGTCGCACTGAA